GCAGAGCCTAAAACTGCTATTTTTGACAGCATTATGTATCTCAATCCATTCCTTTTCATTCCCATACGAATGACCACATCAATTAACACCAGAATCACCCAAGTAACATCAGCATAATGTCAAATAACACAATTCAACCATTCCTAACAATCCTATATCATGCAATTGGTTCAATTCCACACAATTTGACAACATTAGGGACAAATTCTACAAACCTAGAAAATACTAAATTGAGATTCCTAACATGCTTAATCAATTCTATTGATCCCAAAATCTATAAGGCATAGTAATTAATCGAAATCACCCCTTACCTCGCGATGATCCTTCGAATTCGCGGCGTTTGGCTTTTTCCTCTCTTCTCTTCTCTTCTCCAATTTCACGTACAATGACTTTTTCCAAATAACCTTCTTTTTCTTTTCCTTTTTATCCTTCCTTTTATATTCCTTTTATTATTTTCCAAATAATAGAAATAAATTAGTTATTATTTAGTAGAGCTTTTTACTTCACACACCTCTAATTCAACCTTACACCCCCCGGTCTTCCTTTTTAATTTCATAATTAATTCATCCATTTAATCCAAAATATTATTAATTAAGCCTTTAATTAATTTAATAATTAAATTCCTAATTATTTAACACTTGAATTAATTTGGGGTGTCACACACTGCATGCTCCATATAGGATTTCATTGCTTTCCTTTATTTCTTGTTGATCGATGAGACACTCAATTTAGAAATTGAGATAACGACTTCTCTCTCATTGCATGTTCCCTATAAGATAGTTTTTGTTAGAATTTCTTTGGCATGATAGCCTAGATACGATCTCTTTAGGTGTGTTCTCTTGAGCTTATTGGCTTGCTTTCTTGATTTCATCTTTGTATGCATGTTTTGAGATGATATACTCTCGACATGTTCCCTTGGGAGCTCTCGATTCAACTATAGATGATGATTTAAGATAGACATAGTTTTAGGTGATAGACCCTTGCTATACTCCTTTAGGACCTCTTGATTCATCTATAGATGATGATTTGAGATAGACATTATGATTGTTATCTAAGCATGTCAACATAGGGTAAAGATTTTCCTTTAAAACTCGACCATAGGACCACCATTTTATGATAACATTAGGGATAGATTTAGGCTAGTCTTCCTTAGATGTTTTCTTTCTTTCACATCGTTGCATTAAGATTAAAAATCTTTTTCTTGGAAAATCTTAAAACATCTAACAATTTCCAAATCCTTCTTTAAGGTAAAAGCTATCAACCAATGCAAACTCTTTAGCGCCTTCAGGCTTTTCTTTCAAACTTTTCAGAAAGAACATGTTAATTCACTTCTGTGCTGACGCGTGAGTCTCCAAAGATCGAGATGTGGCAGAAGGTGAAATTAATATTGTTCATTAAAAAATACAAACCAACAAAACTTTTGAAGCCGAACTACGACTACTCTGATTCCTTAAAAGAGATACGTAGGCATCGGGATAGGGCCCGAACAAGCACAACATTTATTTTCCCTACATTCTTTTCTCCTTTCTTTTGCATGCATTCCATGTACAATTTAGATATAAATTTGAAACACACCCTTTGTTTAGAACAACATGAGTGGATACCGTAGAGTACTACGGGCGTGTGGGATGCTAATACCTTCCCCTCGCGTAATAGACTCCCTTACCCAATCTCTCGGTCGTTTGATCGTGATTTCACCCTTCTCAAGTTTTCTCGATGTTTACCTTTCCCTTTAGGTGGGATAAAAGACGTTCGATAACGACTTCATTGATTTCATTATCAGTTGATTATTCAGCCGGTTGTTTAAGAAGGTTCTGGAAATGGTCCACACACATCAGAATGCACTACTCCCAAAGCATGTTTTGCTCTTGTGGCTACTTCTGACACAAATGGCAATCCAGGTTGCTTCCCTTTCATGCATACTTTACATGACTTCTCGGGATTCATAATTTTTGGAATGCCACGCACGAGCTTCTTGGAACTCAGATGCCTAAACATTTTTAGTTCAGATGTCCCAACCTATTACGCCATAGCTTACCATCACCTTCAGTGTCTTCTGTACTAAGGCACTCTGTTTCAACTGTCTCCACATTCACCTTGAATGTTCTGTTGCTTCCCAGCTTAGACTGCATAATCAGCTTCTGATTTGAATCATACAACTTCAAGAGATTGTCCTTCATAATAATTGAGAAATCTTTCTCAATGAGCTGACCTACACTTATCAGATTGCTATTAATTCCAGGAATATACTAAACATCCTTGATCAAAACAGTCTTCCCATTCTTTACTTTGACTTTGAAATTTCCCATACCTTTTGCACTCAAGTACTTATCATCAGCACATTTGATCTTTGTCCTCCTTTTGGAGTCAAAATCTATCAACCATTGTTTGTTTTCAGTCAAGTGGTTTGAGCAACCAGTGTCCATATACCGCCAGTCTACCAATAATCTTTAGCAAAATGGCCAAATTGCTTGCAACAATAACATTGAACCTTCTTCTTGTCAAACTTCTCCCTTCCCTTCAGATGTTTCTTCTTATCAGAAGTAGAAGTTTTTGACTTCTAGAATCTACCACCACGCCTCTTCTTAGTTTCTGACCAAGAATACTTCTGGTCCTTCTTGACAAAAGAAGCTTTCAGAGCCTGCTCAACTTCCCTCTCATAAGTTCTTTCAGTCAGACGCAACTCTTACGCCTCTAGACTGTTTTGCAGCTCTTTTATTCTCATTGTGTCTATATCTTTAGAATGTTCAATTTATACAACAATGTAATTAAATTGAGGAGTAAGAGACCTCAATACCTTCTCTATGATTACTTGTTCAGAAAGTATTTCTCCATAAGCTTTCATCTCATTAGTGATCATAATCACTCTAGAGATACTCAGATATCTTCTCATTGTCTTTCATGTTGATATTCTCATACTGCTTTCATAGGGACTGAAGCTTCACCTTCTTCACTGATGTGCCACCACCGTAACACCTAACCAGTGTGTCCTACGCAGCCTTCGCTGTTATAGAATCAGCGATTTTCTCAAGCACGTTCACATCCACACACTGATGAATGTAAAACAACGCCTTCTGATCTTTCTTCCTTTTGTCTCTCTGCGCATTTCTCTATTCCTCTGTCGCATCTGCTGCAACCGAAACGTAACCTTTGGTAACAAGCTCAAGAATATCTTGAGCACGGAACAACACGTGCATCTGAATCATCTAGTGATTCCAGTTCTTCTCATCGTACACTGGAAGTTTGGTGCTCAGACTACCTTTTTCGTTCATCTTCAACCTTATGCAAGTCACTCAAATCTCATCAAACACAGTGTTTCCCAATCCCACAGAATCATAAAAATGTGATTCTGTTACGATTTCGTTCAAGATTCAACACGAATTCAAGAAACGAAATCAATCACACAACGCCACACTATTTCACTCGTGTTTCCCTGTGAATCCGAACCGGTGCTCTAGATACCAATTATTAGTGCACAAGATGATGAAGACAAAAAGAATGAGAGAATATATTTATTACTCTGCAATGACGGCTACAAAAGTGTAAAATATTAGGATTTAAAAGACAACTACTACTAGTCTATTTATATATACAAACTAGGGTCACATAGACAACATACTAAAAATATTAAATTACCCTTCAATATAATACTAAATTACCCTTCAATATAAAGAAGATTATGGGAAAATTGTGAAGGCAGAGGACGATTGTTGATGAGTTTTCGGGTTAGGTTATTGTTCGCAGTAGTACGATTGAGTGTTAACAGAAGAAGGTAGTTATGGAATATGGTTTTGCGGAATAGAGTTACGGAGGATGGTGGATAGTAGTTGTAAACATTGTTGTGGGGTTGAAAATTGTTGGGAGAACGGATGGTAAGTGATGATTAGAGGAATGAACAGGGACAATGAAGGGTCACAAACTGGTATTTGGAAAAGGCAGTGTGAAGGAGAAATGGGTGGAGGATTGAAATTGGACTTTTGAAATGTGATGGCTGGAGAAGTAGTGAAGAGAGGAGAAGGGGTTTGGAGAGATTTTATCCCCTTTCAATTTACTGAAAGCTTCCTCTTTAATTCACAACCCAATTTACCGAAAGTTATATGTTTTGGAAAAAAACAAAATTTCTCTTTTTTTAACTTGGCCCAAGTGATGTTTAATGAAGGGTTAATTTTGTCTTCTAATTATAGATCGAAATAATTAATTGCTGGTCATCATAAAATTAATTACTGGTCATAATAAAATGGTTTGATTGGACAAAAATAAAAATATTTTGTTTTAATCTATATGCATCGTTTCAGCTTTCAGTTCATTTTCCAAGAAGTCATTTCCAATGCTTTCTAAATCATTTCTTCTTCCAAAGCATTTTGTTTTTTCTTCCACCCTATAAATAAACATGCATTTAGTCTTTCTCTACATCGCTCTTCCTCTTTCACCTTTGTTCCTCCTGCCTCGCCTTTGTTCTTCCTCAACCTCTCTCTTCTTCTTCTTCCGCTTCCTCTTCGATAATTAGTATTATGTTAATAATAATAATAATTTTTTAATTTTCACTGAACTTTTCTGCTAAGATTTATCATATGTTTATGACAATAAATCAATGTATAGCATTAGAATTATATTCAGTTTTTTGTTTTTATTGCTCATTATCTGTTTGATACAATGCCAACTCTTCTTTGAACATGTTTTTGGCTAAAGTTTGGTTCTTTTCATTTTCTATTATTTTTGTTGTTTCCTAATTGTAAAATGCTTTAGTTATATTCCTCTTGAAACTTATTTGTATTGTGGTTGCCTTTTGCATCAGTCAAAGCAGAAAACATGAATGAAGAGTCTAATCCTTATGAAAAGGTTACAGATCTATTGAGGGATACATCCATATTTCTCTGGTTAGAATCTGTTAATTAGGTCAAAGATATTTTCGCTATTGTACTATTGAGGGATACATCCATATTTCTTAGGTTTTAAATCTTAACCTTTGACTTGTGTTCTGAAGGTTGCTCTTGAAGAGGTTAAGAAAGGGAAATCAATAGATGCACACACTCAATAATATAGTTTGAGTTTTGTTTAAGTCTCTCCCTCTCCCTCTGTTGTTGATAAGCTAGATTACAAATTTGATGCAAGTGCAGCCTTTTACACAGTTTTAATTCCTTTCCGTATAATCTTGCAACATATGAACTAATACACGCAGTGCTGTCTACAGGTATGCTGCACTGGGGAAAACTCCAACACGATATATTTTGTACCAAGATATAAACAGAAATGTTATATACTGTGATTTTGATTGTCAATAAATAAATGACACGACTGATATTAGCCCTTACCTTATATAAAATTTGTGTCATGGTTTTATGATGCTTAAGAGATTTTTTAAAACGTGTTTCCTTTTTCATGACTGTGCTCCATGTTTTATGCAACTTGAATTAATTGCTCTTGGATGAATGTCGTTTGTTTGCTTTAAGAGATAATGTAAGATTTTCCAATATATTATCGAATGAATGTCATAATCATTTTAATCACGTCCAACACATTCTTTGTTATAGTCTCTCAAATATAATTGATGCTGAAGAGGGATGGTCGAAAGCCATAGAGGTAAGAGAAATTTAATCACTCAACACATTCTTTGTTATGTAAAATTATTGAATGAACCATCATGGTTAGGCTAAGAGATATTTTCTCCATCTATGTGGAGCTTGGCTTTGGAATAGATTAATATTCAAAATTTTGTGTTCAAATACTTACCTATATTGTTTTGCCATCAGTACACTTTTCAAATTGAAAATAAATCTATTGAGAAATTCAACCTTATTTTCTCGCCCCTACAACATACATGCTCCTGACTGATCTTTAAGCCAGTTTTAATTTTATTTTATTATTCAATTTAACTATATATGCATACTAATTTTTCTTTATGAAACATATATCAGTGGATGTACTTGATCCTTCATGTATGAAGTTTATAGGTTTGGTTATGTTAATTGATAGAGTAACAATTGCAAATTCTAATGGTAAATTAAGTTGTGGAATGAGCAAGCGAGCGTGAGAGTAAAAAAATGTTGCATAACTGACTCTCTCGAAAGATGGGGTATTTATAGCCCCCAGCACTGAGCTAAGGTCTCTATGTTGGGCTGGTCAAGCAGACCCAACATAGAGACTGCCAGGTCCTACGTAAGTAGTGGGGACCCGCACGTGGTTCCCTACCTGGATGACGTCCTCCGCAACGTCAGAAGGATATGGATGTGATCTTTTCGGGGCCTCTAAGACCCCGTGATATCCGGAGACGTTGGTAGTCAGTCCTACGGAAATTGACTATCACCACCACTTAAGAACTTGTCACAAATGTCAAATCTACGTTGATAAGGTACATGTACCTCCAGTACCGCTGAATGTCTTGACTGCTCCTTGGTTGTTCACAATGTGGGGCATTGATATGATTGGAGAGATCAAGTCTACTGCTTCTAACCGACATCGGTTCATCCTCGTTGTCATTGATTACTTCACAAAGTGGGTTGAAGCAGCCTCAGTTGCCTCTGTTACTAAGAATGTTATGGCTTGGTTCATTATAAGCATAACCTTATCTGTCGGTATAACATCCACGAAAGGATTATCATATACAATGGTACCAATCTCAACAACACTATGATCACAGAACTCTGCACGCAGTTCAAGATCAAGCACCACAATTCTTCTCCATATCAACCAAAGATGAATGGTTCATTGGAAATCGCCAACAAGAACATAAATAAGATCATACAGAAGATGTTGTTGACATATAAAGATTGACATGAGATGTTACCATTTACTCTTCATGGCTACTGCACTCCGGCACGAACATCGACTAGGGCACCCAATTCTCTATGGTATATGGTATGGAAGTTGTTCTACCTGTCGAAGTTGAAATTCCTTCTCTGAGAATTATGAAAGAGGGAGATTTAGACGAAGATGAATGGATTCAGGCTAGGTTGGACCAGTTGAATCTGATTGATGAGAAAAAGCTTGCGGCTATTTGTCACGGTCAGATGTATCAGAAGCGTATGGTCAAAGCGTTCAATAAGAAAATCAAGCATCGAGTATATCGGGTTGGGGACTTGGTAATAAAGCGCATCATCCTACCGCAAGGTGATCCTAGGGGAAAATGGACTCCCACCTACAAAAGGCCATTTGTAATCAAGAAGATATTTTTGGGCGGCGCTATAATACTTACCACCATGGACGGTGAAGATTTTCCGCATCCTGTGAACGCGGACATAGTCAAAAGATACTGCACATGAAAAACGACCCACTAGGTTGACTGACCTAGGAAAAAATAAGGGCATCCCAGAGAACCCAAAGGGTTCTGGAAAAAATCAGGGATATATAGATACATATATATATATATATATATATATATATATATATATATATATATATATATATATATATATATATATATATATATATATATATATATATATATATATATATATATATAAAAGACTGTACACCTGGCAAGTCGAAAACCTGAAAAGGCAGCTTGGGCAAAAAAGGGTATCCCGGTGGACTGAAAACCCAAAAGGGCGATCCAGACAAAAATTAGGGATTAAAACATATGACTATGTCCCATTGGATCACTTACAACCAGCTTTACTACCAACGTCAAGTTCGAATGGTGTCGATCAATTCAATCAACTTCTTTAGACATCAAGGGATAAGATGCTCGAAGACATATGGGCAATAATAGAGTCGAAACCTGACGAGATCATTTACACATAACTATATGTTTTGTTTTACTTTGTACTCATTTCGTTGCACGGTGATTTTCTCTTACTGGGATTTATGTCTCTTTATACAACAATCGCCTATTTATAGGCAAACTATCAATATAAACACAATTTCAAAATTCAAATATCATTTTACTTTTTATGTTTTGTTTGCAAATACGTCCAATGACTTAATTAAATGAACACATGCATATGAATACGATTATTGTTAACAAATATATGCATAAAAAATAGGAATAAGTTTTTACTCAAGACTCTAGGAGACAGGATAATGTTCAAGTCATCCACAAATTCCCACAGAACAACCTCAATGGAATAGTCCCCACGGAGTCATCTTCATAAACTCGACATATTCCCCGTAAGTCTGAAATACCCTAATCATACTCACCAGCAGATCCCCTTAGCAGACAAAGGAATATGATCTTTTCCATGACAATGTTTCCAACCTACAGAGTCCTAATCCTCGTTAGAGATTATGACATCAACACAGGTCATAAGAATTCTCCTCCCCAGTTGAGTTTATTTCTCCAACACTGTAAAATCCCCTGCATAATTCTCTTCTCTGGTAGGGCTCATCTCCTTAATAGAGTATTGCTCAGCAGAGCGTATTTCTCCAACAAGGTTTATTTCTCCAGCAGAGTTTATTTCCCCAACAAATCCAGTCTCCTCAGCTTGAGTCTATTCCTTTGAATACTGCAAATCACCGACAAAACCCCCCTTTCCAGCAAAGGGAAGTCCAGGCTTCTACCCCCAGAGAGTTGCTACTGAATCTAAAACCAGACCAGATATTAGTTAATCTTATCCTCCCCAGACGAGTCGGCTTCCATATTGAAAGCTCGGTCAGACAACGCTTCAGAAGGTTATCCATCTCTTTTATCCCCAACTAGGATATATAATAATTAAATTTCTCAGTAGAGCGGTGAACGACCAATGTTCCTGAACTCTCCCCAAGAAGAAATCAAATTCCCTAACGTTGTTTCTTCAAACAGAAAGTAGAAATCCCCAGCGAAAACATTCTAAACAGAGGTTAAAGGTTACACATATTCTTTAGCCCCAACAACAGTCAAGGATTTATTTTCCCCAGTCAGAGATGTTATACGAAGCTACCAATACGCTTCAACGACATTTCACATTCATACATCATTTATAAATACCCTAACATATGCATACGAAATGCATATAGCACACTCTCATTTACTTCGAGAACATCATTACGCAATACATTTCATACATCATGATATTGCATAAGCTAACTCTTTATCTTTTCAGGTAAAGTCTACAAATAGACAAATATCATCAACAATTTTCAAATAGGTCACAGATTAATTCTTGAAACAAGAAAGGGAAACTATTTATATGACCAGAAACAAATTAATTTCTGAAACAAGACAGGGCAACTATCTGTGAAAATGAATTGTAGATCAATTCCCGAAACAGGACGAGGTGACTATCTACATGAACATGTTGGAGATTAACTCTCGAAACAGGATGGGGAAACTATTTATACAATCGAGCAAAGATTAACTCCCGAAATAGGACGGGGAAACTATCTTTCTATTTTTATGGCCTTATGAAGATCAATTCCCAAAACAAGACGGGGAGATTATATTTATCACCAGGTGGTATGAACTCCCGAAGCAGGACAAGTTTACCAACAAAAACAGAATGTAGATCAATTTCTAAAACAAGACGGGGAGACTATCTACATGACAAACACTTCCCTTCAGAGACTGAATTCTAAAAAGCATTTCCTTCAGAACATCATTCTAAAAAGCATCCTCCTTCTGAGATTTATTCTGAAAATCATTTCCTTCAGAGATTCATTCTGAAAAGCATTTCCCTCAGATAGGATCATATAGATTCATTCTGAAAAGCATTCCTCAGATACAGTCTAGCGTATACTCATTCTGATACTTCTATCAACAGTTACTTTGGATGGAATCTATAAGCCCATCTCCGACTACTCTCTGTCACCTCTCCGAATGACATCTTTAATCCCATTCAAGCAATATTATCAACTAACAGCGTTAGCGCCTGTACATGCAAGTGCAAATTTCTTGGCACTTAAGTGTTCAATCATCTTCTACCTTCAAGTCACGAATGGAGAACATGCCAATCTAACACTTCAGGTTTAAGAAGATTGAACAGAGGCAACTGTTGTACCTCAAAATTTGCCCTCCCATTTTCTTCAAAGACATTCTCCTAGGTTTCTCAAATGCTCAAGGTGGCTCAAGAATTGATCAGATAAATTATCCTCCTAAGCAATGGACTCACAACTAGGGTTTTGTATTTATCAAGGAAGATTGGGCTTCCAAGGTCACAAGTGGTTTTCATGGTTCTTAAAATGTTCCTAAGAATGCTCATGTCAAATTTCAAGTCTTTCATCACAAATTTGCTCAATCAATAGCTCAAATGACTAAGAATCAACTATATTGGGTAAAAAGTCAATTGGGGTCAATATATAGTCAAACTTAAAGATTTTTGGTCAACATCAAGGTTTTGAAGTCATATTCATCATTTTATCAAGTTTTGATCATGATTCCTCAAGAAAAGCCCTCAAA